CTATTTCCTATCACGGTATTAAAGTTCAAAATGATAAAACGGTATTTCTTGAATTAACGCATGTGTGAAATTGCTTAAGGTTGCTAATGGAGCCCGAGTCTAGTGTGATTAATGATTTACTGTTGTTTGGCATGTTTTACACTGTTTTACAGCTTTAAATGCATTATGGGGTTTGATGTGTTCATTTTATAATTTCGAATGCATATATTACTGTTTTATTAATTATGGGTTGAATGACTGAAGAACTGATACTGTATGTTGTCTGTTCGGCATGAATTACGATTTGCTTGTTTAAATGTGAATTGATGATGCTTATTGAGGAAAAAGGAAAATGAAACATTGTATAGACTGATAATTGTATGATGGGGACAGCCTGACTAGATATCCTGGGAGATGGTGGACGGACCAGGTCCGTAGGGAACCCTACCGGGATTGTGGTCTCACATGCCGGACGGGGCATGGAGATCTTATGGTTTTGGCACCCATACCGGACGGGGTATGGGGACGGCCCGTTTCACCCTCATACCGGACGGGGTATTGAGGTTTATGGTTTTGGCGCCCATACCGGACGGGGTATGGGGACGGCCCTGGAAACTGATTATGAATGTTAAAGGTTAACGGGTAGCGGGACCCCTAGGGACCCCCATGGATACTAGTAGGCTGGTAAATGAGAAAAGGATATGTTGTATAATGATTGAATTATAAAAGGCGTGATAAGTGCTATGTTTTACAGCTTATATTATTCCATGATTGTGATAATGTTATTATTTTTCTTATATTGTTTTCATAAATTCCACCGAGGTAAGTGGATGGTAAAGGTTTTCATGTTAATAAACGAGTTTATTGTAAATTATGCTCCATTGGTCTTTTTGTGGTTTTCTACCCACCTTTATCTCCGTGACGGTGAGATATCGTGATGTTCTTACTGGGCTAGTGTAGCTCACTCCTTAATTAACCATTTCAGATCAGGAAGACATGGTTCCCGAGCCCGTTCCGCAGGAGGACGACGAAGGGGATGCCTAGAGACTCTGTAGTCATACGCATAGTTTATTTTCGAGTTTTCTTTCTTAGTTAGTTTAACCTTTTATATTTTAAGTACGTTTTTTTGGGTTTTTTCGTGTAAGGGATGTTAACTGAAATTTTGATCTCGCTTCCGCATTCGATATATTTAAATACTCATTTCTTTTTTAATATTTTTCGGGGCTGTTACATAACATCTCTGAAATTAAGGTTGATGCGTTACATATGGCATATAAATCACACTTGAAAATCGTTGATAATTAGCTATAATAACAAGTGTTGTAATCTAATTACAAAAAAGAAATAAACTACATTAAGATTTATCTTACAAGATCTATTTGATATTTGAAAATTATTCACATAACAATTAAAAAAGTAGAGACATCACAAGAGAAACTTTAAGATGATAAATTTTTATTCAAATAAAAGTGAAAATTCAAGAAAAAATTTGTCAAAAAAATATCAAATTTTTGAAAAAAAAAAATTTAAAAATACATATGATCACATGAAGAAAACATTGTCAAGTACTTATTAAGAGAAAAAAAAGTGTTCCATTAAAAAAATAATAACAAAAAAAAAAAGTGAAGGGCTCTTGTGAAATAAGGAAAGTCGATTTTCTGTCCATTTAATTATACGGTACCATTATTATTATTTTTTATTATTTTATTATTTATTAAAATAATAAATTTATTTTTTAATTTTTAATAATGTATTATATTGTGATTCTATTTTTTATTATTTTACTTAAATATTTTTAGTTATCATATCATAACATATAATCATAAATCACAAAATTAAAAACTATATCAAAAATTTCAACTTTAACACAATTTATTTTAGTTAGTTAGGAAATATTAAACACACAAATATAAATTAGTTATAAAATATATATATATATATATAAATATTTAAACTAATTTTTTTATAAAAAAATTCTCTAAAATTTACCCAATGCAAACTTTTCTTTTCAGATTTTAATGCTTTAAAATTATTTTCGTTAAAAATATTATATACAATAAATATTAATATATAATTACATTTAAAAAATTTAAACATGATACATAATATAAATTATATAATTTATATACTATTTATCAATCCATATTAAATACCCTTTTTAACGGTCACCCGAATTATAATTTTGCTAAAATTTCTAATATAATTTGGCTGTAAAAAATGTATAATTATAATATAGTAATAATATACTATATATATAAATAAATAAATAAATAGTAAAAAAACAAGAATAAGAAGCTCGCTTTACAGGAGGGAACAATTCAAGGATAAAGACGGCTTTTAAGCCTTTTGCTTTGTTTGTGAAGCTCGCTTTGTTTTTTATATCTTCTTCAAATCACAATCCTCCATTACCAGAAAATTTACAGAACAATCTTCCTTTTTCCTCTTCTTCTTCTTCTTCTTCTTCTTCTTCTTCCTCCTCCAATTTTTTCACTTACCCAACAAAGAAAAAAACAGAGGAGGAGTCATAGTATTATTCTTATCTTTATACAATTCTCTCTCTCTCTCTCTCTCTCTTTCTCTCCTTTTCTCTTTCTCTTTCTTTCTTGTTTCGATCGATCTGAAGAGCTCTTCAGTGAAAAAGTTGTTTCACTTTCTCTGCGAGTTTTTTTTTTCTCTCTTTTCTGTCTCTCTACTTTTCTCTCTCTGTTTCTTCTATTATTGTCTGACTGTCCCACTTGATGAGAGATTACTTCGTCTTCATTTCTATTTCTCTTATTTGATCAGGTATATTCCTTCTCAACAATCTTTCATTATCTGATTGCTCCTTGAAAAGGGTTTTTTTTTTTTTTGGGTTGTGTTGCTTTGTTTGGTTGGTGAGAAAATCACGGGGAAAGAACAGAATCGGTGTCTGTTATTTTTTACGGTTTCTTCCTTCATTTTCTATGCAACCAAACAGAACATATCGGGCTGACTATACTAGTTTAAGGCGGCTTTTGATTGAGTAAGCAATCTAAATTATTGGGTTTGAGTAGAATTATTGACATGCTTGAGTCTTGAAAAGGGTTAGATACTCCGTATTTATATCCCCTTTGATTGCTAATCACGGTTTATATCTTGATTCCTGGATCAGTTATTGTTAAAACTTGTTTTTGCCGCAATATTAGGGGTTTTATTTTATTGGAAATTATCCTTGGTGATTGGATCTTTAATGGGTATCTGCAGTTTCTTTTTTTCTGTGAATATTCTTTTACTTGAATTTGCAGAGAAGGGATATTATTAAAGTTCATATCTTTATTTCAAACATTTCTTTTATTCTGTAACAGTTAAATCTTCATTTTAGAAGGACATTAAAGTGGAGGATTCTGGGAGTTGAATGGCTTTAGCTCCGGCTGGTTATTTCTAGTTGGCTGCAAAAGAGAGAATACTGTGCTTAATTGAATTTCTGTGAAGCATTGTCTGGTGTTGATTTATCAATGGAGTCATTTGTTAATGGAATTAGTTCTTCATCAAAGACTAGGATTTCAGTTCCTTTAGGCAACGAACCTTCATCTTCGAATGGGACTCCTTGCCCCTTGCTGCCTCCATCTCCGAGACAATCCAGAAACGAACCTGCTCATACTCATGGATCCAGGATGATCCATCAACGAAATGGTACTGAAATCAATGAAAAGCGTCCCTGTAAATCATCTTCCCGTGGTAGTTTGCAGCAAGAAGAGTTTGGTAATATGGCAAAACAGTTTGATGACTTGAGTAAGGGGAAATCTGGATATGTTGGCTCGGTTAATCTTGTTAATAAAAGGGTAGATGCATCTTTGGAGAAGAAGATGGAAAATGGATCTTTTGTCAACCATCCTGTTGATGATTCTGAGGCTTCTAAGTCAGCTGGCTCCCTGGAATCTGAAGACACAATCCCAGTCTCCTGTAAGGAAGGCATTGTCCAGATGAAAAACCAGTTAGCATCTCAATCTGAGTCCAAATTTTGTCCAAGCCCTTCGAATAGTCTGTTTACCGGTACCCTTTATTCCGAAGCCAAACAAAGCTTCACGAATACAGAAGTGAGTGAATGTGGAAGCAGCATTGAGAAGTCAGGTAAAAGTGGCGAAGTGAGTAACTCTTGTGATTTTATCGAGAGCAGGAAGACAAGCATCTGCAGAGGCAGCACCGGCAGTGATGTTAGTGATGAGAGCAGCTCTAGTAGTCTAAGCAGTACCATGTACAAGCCTCACAAGGCTAATGACACGAGATGGGAAGCGATTCAAGTTGTTCGATCTCAATCTCGTGATGGAGTGTTGAATGTTAATAACTTCAGGTTGTTGAGGAGACTGGGATGTGGGGATATTGGCAGTGTTTACCTAGCAGAATTGACTGGCACTAGAAGCTTTTTTGCCATGAAGGTTATGAATAAAGAAGCTTTAGCTAGCCGGAAGAAGCTTCTGAGAGCGCAGACGGAGAGGGAGATATTGCAATCTCTGGATCACCCATTTTTACCCACTTTATACACACACTTTGAGACAGAGAAATTTTCTTGCTTGGTCATGGAATTTTGCCCTGGAGGAGACTTGCATGCCCTTAGACAAAGACAGCCAGGGAAGTTTTTCTCAGAGCACGCCGCCAGGTTAATTCTCCATCTAGTTTCCTTTAAACTGTTTGTTGTTTTACGATGTATGCATGTATATTATATGCATAAATACATTCTTTCTACCAGATGAAACTTGTAGTGGCAGGAGGAGCCCTAAGAGAAGGCTTCTTTTTTCAAAATCAGGAAAAAAGCTTGAAAGTCGGATAAAAGATAACATCTGGGTTATTTTCTTGTCAAAGTTAGAATTTTTGTTGCTTGAATCAATTGGGTAAATGGGATTTTCAGATCAGTTCAATATTTCAACTATCTACTGCTTATACATGAGATTGGAAATCTCTACTTCAAGCTGCTTTGATTTCTTGGAGGTTTCATTAGGAACCAAGATACTTATTTTCCATTGCAAGTACTCCAAATCAGTTTGAACAATGCTATAGTCATATTCAACAAATATTTCTTAACACTTTCTATCAATTTTCTGCAACTACTGTTTTTGTCAGCTAAGTTTTTCGAACTCATATCTTTCAAGTTAACTTTCACCTTTATGACTTGGTTTCTTTCTTCAGTATTTCAATAGTTTAGAAAAAGTGCAAATTCTCATTTCTCTCAAGTCCTCCCGTTATGTACTTATTATTCAATTCCTCATTCTAATTCTCATACCAGTTTTCATATAAACAATTAGATCATCAGGAATTAACATTGTTTATTAGTCACTGCTTGGTCTCGTGAGGATAAGCAGTTTTGTTTTCGTGACTTGTTGACGAAGAAACTTTTTAGGGAGCCTGCTTCAGGAGCCTCGTTTTATTCTAATTCTTAACCTAACAAAGAATAATGATCTTGTTCTGGGAATTCCGTCTTCTAACTTCCTGGTTTAGCACTGGCAATTTGCGAGGAATAATAGTTTGGGCAAACCTTGTTTATCACTGTAATAGTCTATGTTAATTGGAAACAATTCATTATTATTGTTATTATTTGCATTAATCTTCATAATTACCTTGCAGGTTTTATGTTGCAGAAGTACTCCTTGCCCTGGAGTATCTGCACATGCTTGGGATCATTTATAGAGACCTTAAGCCAGAGAATGTGTTGGTTAGGGAAGATGGACACATAATGCTTTCGGATTTTGATCTCTCTTTAAGATGTGCGGTCTGTCCAACTCTTGTCAAATCCTCCAACTCAAACTTGGAGTCCAAGAATTCCGGATACTGTGTTCAGCCTGCTTGCATTGAACCAACTTGTGTTATGCAGCCAGATTGTATACAACCAGCATGTTTTGCCCCGCGGTTCTTCTCAAGCAAGTCCAAGAAGAAGACCAAAGCAAAACACGATGCAAATCATCAAGTCAGCCCTCTCCCGGAGCTGATTGCCGAACCCACAAATGCTCGATCGATGTCCTTTGTGGGCACCCACGAGTACTTGGCACCAGAAATCATCAAGGGCGAGGGCCATGGCAGTGCTGTGGATTGGTGGACATTTGGGATCTTCCTTTATGAGCTTTTGTTTGGCAAAACACCTTTCAAAGGTGCAGGAAATAGAGCTACCCTTTTCAATGTGGTTGGACAGCCTTTGAGATTTCCGGATTACCCTACTGTTAGCTTTGCAGCTAGGGACCTGATCAGAGGCCTATTGGTGAAAGAGCCACAGCACCGGCTTGCCTATAGGCGTGGAGCGACTGAGATTAAGCAGCACCCGTTCTTCCAGAGCGTGAACTGGGCGCTCATTCGCTGTGCAAATCCTCCGGAGGTACCAAAACAAGTGTTGATGGAATTGGCTGCTGGACCGGACATAGTGAAGGCGCAGACAGGCAGCCAGGTTCCGGGTGTAGATGTGAAGCCTTCAGGTAATTATTATGAGATTGATTTCTTTTGATTCTTGTGAGAAATTTTTCTTTCTTTGAGGGAAAAAGGAAAACAAAGAATCTGTACTTCCATGGCCTCATTTGTACTAGTGCTTAGAACTAACAGCACAGTAGAGAAAAGCCAAATCCAATTGAATGAGGAATGAATTTGCTGCTCATCTTTCTTTTTAAGCAGGTGGAAGTAAGCTTAGAACTTTTTACCACTGTGTATTTGATTAAGTTGTCCTAAAGTTAGCATCTTGCAGCCGTTTTTCTCAACAGATAGCGTGTTTGGGTCAGATTGGTTTCAGATTGGTGGGAAAACTGTACCCGGGTGGGACAGATTCGGGTTTGGCCTATTCATGCCTGCCTGAGCCAGGCTTGACATATATTTTTGTTTTCAACAGATTGTGAGTTTGGGTCAGATTGGTTCCAGATTAGCAGGAAAACTGTACCCGGGTTGGAAAGATTCCGGTTTGTGGAATAGATTCGGGTTTCGCCTATTCATGCCTGCCTGAGCCAGACTCGGCATATATTTGTTTTTCAACAGATAGTGAGTTTGGATCAGATTGGTTTCAGATTTGCAGGAAAACTATACCCGGGTGGGACAGATTCGGGTTTGTGGGTTAGATTTGAGTTTTGCCTATTCATGCCTGCCTGAGCCGACTTGACATATATAGGGTCGGATGAATTGCAAAATCTATAAGGTCCAAAGATTAAAAAAAGAAAATTCAAACATGAATCAAGTTCAAGACAGGTTCGGATTCATATATTGTAAGGATGAGTTGGGTTCGGATTTGGTAAAATAGTTTGTGATATTTTTGGGTATCAACCAATTCCTGACTTGAACCTGAACCTACACCGAATATCGCCCATGACTTGATGCCTGAAAATATCTTTGATGGGGAAAAAAAGACAGAGATCATCGACAGATTAGGTTGATATATTGACTATGGAGTATGAACCAATAATGGTGATGAAGAATGATAGTCTTTAACAACATTGACAGAGTAAAAGTCAGTCATGGATCCCCTTTCACAAAGAGGGACAGTGTCGTTGTCTTGAAAGAAAATTATGGGAATTTTACAAATTAAATTCACTATATATATATATATAAGCATATACATATATCCAATCGCCAGCACTTTTTGCGCTTTCCTATGTGTGCAAATCATCTGTATCTATACGTGTATGTATATGTCACGGAAGATGAGTTTCTCTCTCTCTTTTTCTTTCTAATTTTTGAACTTATTTCTTAAAATTGTGATTAAAGAAATTTCGGAGTTCTATTAAATATTTATTATTATAATAACACTAATCATGTTTAGAACAGGTAAAAGTTAAATTTATATTAATTTTATTAAATTTAAAATTTAAAATATATTATTTTAATAGTAATGAAAAGCATAGAAAACAAAATAAACGTGAATCACGATCCAAGTCGGCGGTTGACTAATGACCGTAAACATGAGTTACTGATGGTCACGTAGAACAATTTGAAGGCCCAATTAGAGTGCAAAGATTTGAAAATAATTATTTTGTACAGTAAATTATCAATTTATTATTATGTTAAAAAACCTAAGCTGAATTACCAATTTATCCCCCAATATTATCATTTCAGTACTACTGCAGTGGTAAGGCCACGCGCTTGCGACACACGCTCCGTATCTCCTAAATTCAGTTGGGGCCCACATAATTTTTGGGATCTGAGCGTTTTATTTTTCTCTTCCAAGGCCGTCGGAGGTGAAGGTTATTCAGAATCATGAAATTTGGTACACTCGGGACCACGGTAGGTTACTATACGGTCCAATCTAATTATGTACTTTATATTTTTTATTATGTTCACAGTTAAAATTACAGTGCAATTTATATTTACTATTTTATGATATTTTACTGAATTTTATAATTAACTTATTTAAAGTTAAAAGTATAAATAATTTACATAATTTAAAAAGTTTTATTAAAAACAATCGACTTGTGATTCTCCACCGATCTTACTGTAGGTGCGAAAATAGAGAAACATTACTAGCCTATCCCACTAGCCCGTGTTGTCACGCTCCAACCGTAATTTTTACCCGTTTGGTTTTCCCTCGTCATGTATCCATCCCACCGCACCCCACCGCACGCGCGCCTCGCCGTCCGAAAAATTATAAAAAAAAATAATAATAAAAATCAAAACAACTTCCCTTCTCCAGTTCTCTCTCAGACACCCCCACATATGCGCACTGCGCACCCTTCCTGCTATCTCCTTTCAGCTGCAGCAGCGACCCGCATTTGTCACTGTGCTCTCTTCCATCTCTCTTCCAATCGTCCTTTTTCTCTCTCGCTGCACCAAACCCTAACCTCAAGCGAAATCCTAATTCCACATCGGAGCCGCTCTCTTTTGCTCAATCCTTCCATGGCGGACTCAGAGGATCTTTCTACAATCTCCGCGGAAGAGGACACCAACTACGGGTTCAAGAGAAATGAGATGTATTCGAGCAATCTTGCTGGGACGGTGGATCCTTATGATCGTCACGTGTTTCTATGCTTCAAAAGCCCCGACGCGTGGGCCTCACGCGTGGAAGAGGATTTCCTTCCTAAACTGCTATCATCTGCAGTTAAAGCTCGCAAAGGCGACATCACTGTCAAGGTACGTCGGTTTGGTTTGTTTACATATGGTGCAATTAAGGTTTTATCTGAAGTTAGGGGGTGGATTGGAGAGTTGATGGTTGTGGTTTTTTTGTGTTTGGTTTTGATAGACGAAATTAACGGTGTGCGAGGGAGGTGAGTCGGATGGAGACGTGCTGATTTTCCCGGAAATGATCAGATACAAGTGAGTTTTTGTAGAACTTGATTCTCGAATTATTCCTTTTTGTAATTGCTAAGTTCCGATTCCGTTTCTTTGATTTTTTCTTTTGTTTTTCTTGAAATATTCTTTTGTTTTTCTTGAAATATTCTTTGATCTTTTCTTCAATATCTCCAGATATGGTAAATGGCGAGTACTGAGGATATATTAATAAATTATTGTTTCTTTATTTAGTTTGAGATTGTATTGTTCTTTTGAGCAGTAAGCCACTATCACGGAATTTTTCTCTTGAATTCTAAAGATTGTGTCGTCTTCTTGTGATTTAAGAGGTTTGAAGGATTCGGATGTGGATAGTTTTGTCGAGGAAGTGCTCGTGAATGGAAAGCCATGGGCGTCTGGATTGCAGGAGGTTTTGACTGGTTCCTACATTTTTGTGTGTGCTCACGGCAGTCGGGATAAGAGATGCGGCGTTTGTGGACCAGCTCTTATTGAAAAACTCAAACAGGAGATTGAGTTGCGTGGACTGGCAGGTCAGGTATTTGTTAACCCGTGCTCTCATGTTGGTGGACACAAGTATGCTGGGAACGTGATAATCTTTAGTCCTGATTCAGAGGGGAAAATTATGGGTCACTGGTAAGATTTCAACATTAATTTGTTACCGGTGTACAGTAAAGTAGAAGTAAGCTTGACATGTTTAGTTTCCCTGTAGCACTCATTAGTTCATGCCATTTGATTGCAGGTATGGTTATGTATCTCCTGATGATGTGCCTAAATTGCTGGATCAGCATATTGCAAAAGGGGAAATAATAAAGCGGCTTTGGAGGTTTGCATTGTTGTGTTTTTCTGTATCCTGTTTTATGGAACTAACTTTAGCGACCAGGTTAATGCTTTTGTTTGCAATGAGTTAGTACCATAGATATCAAATTTGTGATTATGTGAGACTTCCTTTCATTTTCTTCTCTGAATATTTATCAATTCTGTTTATTAAATTAACAACTAAAACTTCATAGATTTTGTTTTTTATGGGTTTAATGAATTAAATGAAATTGGGGACTGTTTTGTCTTTGTGGTCACAGCTATTTAGGCAATAACTTGCATTTTTACTTTTATGTTCATGGCAAATGTTACATTTCTCGTCTGTAAGTATGAGGTATACCATTGTATCTTTAATACAAAGAGGACAGTAACAAATATTACTTTCAGGGGCCAACTGGGGGCATCTACCAAGGAAGATGAAACAGTGGAGGAACAGAAGCTTCCAAATGGAGATGATGTAAAGAAGCAGGAGAAGCTAGAAGAAATCAACATCCAGGAGAACAAGGATGACTCAGGAGGCTGTTGTCAGGGAGCTAATGGGTTTTCATGTTGCAGGGCTGAAAGCCCAGAAGCTAGTGAGCAGAAGAAGAAGGGGCTCTGCAGATTGTCAAGTTGGATTGGCTTATTGGAGCAAAGTGATATTCTTGCAGCTGCTGCTGTTGTTGGAGCCGTGGCAACTGTTGCCGTGGCTTATAGCTTATATAGAAGGTCAGGCTGAAACATGCCTCGTTATCCCTAATTGCTGCACTTCCGGGGTGTGTGTATACCTCCTCTTTTTTTTGGTAGACAGATGTAATAATATCGTCAAATAATTCTCCAGACTACTCACCATGTTAGGGGAAGGAGAACGACTGTGTATGTCTTAATATGTTAGAAAAAAAAAAATTAACTAAATATTTTGAGCATGCTTTAGAATGCAAGCTTGAGCTCTAGTGTTCCTCTTGTTTCTTCACTGTTGTTTCTATGAATACTGGGTGACTGTCTCATTCTCAATCCTAGAGAATGTTGCAAGAAAACTTATCCGGGAACTTGATACATCATAACACTTGATATATTCAGTTTGTCGATACCTATAAAGTCCTTAGACGGTTTTCACTTTTAGTTCTATATCAAATGGGGAGTTAACTGTTGATCTGAGAGATGCCTCGATGGGTTATTTTATTAGTTGAGTCTACAGAAATGTGTTCTTTGCATGTATCCCGAAAGGGATTCTTTCTATTTTTTTAGTGGGAAAAGGAACCATAATTGTTATCACTGGTTAGGCCATTTTCAGATTTGAGAGAATCCTTGTTCTTGTGTGTTTTATATTAACTCTGTTTTAGTCAGGATTGTTTCACCATGATGGAGCACTTCATAATTCTGTTAAATTAAATTGTAAAATTAATAATTGTTGGATTTTTTTATAAGTTCAGTTAGTTTATACCTATAAGCTTTTTATGGTTGTTTCTGTCACAGACCAAATAATTTGAGTAAAATCACTTTTACTAAACAGTTTTACTGTGCTTCTTACTACCCCTTAGAACTTTTAACATTGAAAACCAGAGACCCAATGAGCAGGAAAAAATAAAAACTCCTAAACACTGAAGTTGGCAAGAAGAAGAAAAAGAAATCTCAAGCCCATTTCGTATATTTACAGGAAATAAAATAAATAAAAAAAGAAGAAACTTATTTTAATCTTAGCGTATATCATGTATTAAGCTTTGCGATCATCTGTTCCACTAGTCTCAATGTTGTCCCTGGAATTTTCTCCCTCTCTGCAAAATCAATCTCCCTCATTACTTGCTCTACAAGCTCATGCTTCGATTCTCCTCTACACGTCGATTCATAATTCGAGCAATCCCTCAGAAGTAATAGCAGATCTCCTGCCATGTTCTTCGCTCTCCATGTCCCATCTACGCTCAACTGTAGCAGACCAGGCATTACTCCTTCCCGCAGTATCAGTCCTCTGTATGTCTCCCTGCATTTTTGTGTTCATAATTTGTATTAGGATAAAACAACGTCGTAGATAAAATCCGAACAAGACCGTGCGACATTTACCTGCAGCTTTGGCATATATGAAGGAGAATTGCTACAGCATGTTCTTTGCACTGTGCAGAACCCTCCTCAATTGCTTCAACCAAAACTCTAATTGCCCCACCAGTGCTCGTGATTTCTTCAACCGCTGTTTCCGACGAAGACACCACATTTTCGACCAAGGCTATTGCCTTCTCCACCAACTCCGACCACTTTTCCGAGCAATTCGCCAGACGGAGCAACGTAAACGACACGTTGGAAGAGGCAATCAATGGAATGATCTGATCACAAGTTGAGAGATTGTGCAAGGTGGCTATAGCATCCACCTTTGTTTGGAAGCTAATTATGCTGTTCGAGCTCTTGTCGTTATGGAAATCTGCATTGAGAGTATCGATGAGGAGCTGGATTGCCCCAGAAGAAGCAATGGCTAGCTTGTTTGCTGCGCAGGAAGAGAGAATCAACACTGCTGCCATTGAGAGCTCAATCAATGGCTGGCTTCGGCATTGGAGTAGGTCTAGCAGAATCGGGATCACCCCTGATTTTACAATCCTGATTTTGTTTCTGTTGAAACAAAATTACCCATCAAAGAAAATCATCCATTAAAGAAAAATCAAACTTACCCCAGATAAGCTTTCCAAATCTTGAAACTGAATTTCACTAGATTTTGAATAAATTACAGTTTCAATTATGGAATTTGGTCTCGGACTGTTTAAATGAAAGCTTAACTATCCAGATCAACATTGAAATCTTTGACCTGTCTATTGAGAAGCTGATGAACAATCATCTGCTTTCGGAAGAAATCAAAAAATTTAATAGGAATCCTACGAGACCCATTTGTTATTGCTTCATTCAATTTTTTTATTTCCACGTGAGAATAGAATTCTCACTATTGAAAGAAAATTCAGAAAGTGAACAATGATATCTAAAATACCATGTATATATTCAAGTTATTTATAAT